CAGATTTCATGTTCGTATATATATATTTGTTCGCTTTAGGTTTACTTTCAGGTCCGAAACGCCAAAAAAAAAAAGTCATGTTTTTATGACAGTTGCTATGAAGTCGTGGAAGGTGGTGGAAAAGTTCTGTGAGATATACCTCAAAAATGTTATGCATCAACCCGTCAATGATGCTCTCAAATTAAACTAGAAATGAACAACTCTTTAAATACCACCACCAGAGGGCGTTATTGTGAAGAATGGGAAGGTGCCAGACACGGGTTGTTTCAACTGGCTAACCTTTGTTTTGCTGGAGCTTTCCTCGTGCCACCGAAACTACAGATGAATGTCTTACTCATGCGTAGTACACTAACGGTCGGATTTCTGCTAGTCACATTATGGGCAGGTGTGGACATATGCGCTCCGGACATTTTCGCGTGGAACGTCACTTTCCTCTTCACGAACCTACTGCACTCGCTGTTCCTTCTCTACCGAAACATACCGCCCAGGATTCAGCCACAGCTCTTGGATTTGTTCCACAAAATTTTTGTTCCGTTAAAAGTCGACAAGAAAAGCTTTATGGATTTAGTAAAAGAAGCTGAAGTGATTTCCATCAAACCAGAGGAATATTATGCTATAGAGGGCGCTACGGCAGCAGACGAAAGATTAGCCGTATTGCTTAGTGGAAAGTAAGTATGTCTATTACTGTTTCTCCTTGTTTAATGAACTTAACCCCCCCCCCCCACAAATGCTAGGACATTTTATGAAGTTCTTTAAAAAAAATCAGTATTATTCATGACTGATCAAGAAATTATGGGATGTACATTAGATCATATAACAGAGGGTTACTCAAAGTTTATATTTTTTTAAAAAAGCACGAGTTGCGTAAGCCACGGGCGTCATGTTTAGAACCTATACATATAGTTCACGAAGAGTTACCAACCATTCGACAGTGCAATGCCACAACGGGTAGCTTATAATTGGAGAATTATATCACAGCCATTTCTGAAGAGCAATTAACAAAAATATTCATACACGATGAAGAGTTAAAAAACATATATACCATTCCGAAGAAGAACACCCTCCAGTGGCTCAGCGGTAGGTCTGAAGGCTTATATCGCTTAAAACCGGGTTTCGATACCCGTGGGGGGCACAGCAAATATATCCTATTGTGTAGCTTTTTGCTTAACTACAAACAAGCCGAAGAAGGGATCATTTGCTGTTGTTCATGGAAGCAGAAAAAACTAGAACAGCAGAACTTTAAGTACAGCAACAGACACCAAAACCACACATCAACCAATCCTCAGTAACACCTTTGCCCCCTTTCCTAATTTGCTCAACGGTAAGTCTGTGGACTTATAACACCAAAATTCTGGTTTCGATACCCATAGTGGCCACAGTACAGATAGCCCATTGTTAGCTATGAGCTTAACAAAAAATACACAAAATATCAGCACCCTAATTAACGAAATGAAAAACTATGATAACGAAAGATAACAACTCGAACTCAAAAAAGCCAATGAAGTGAATAGATAATAAACCAGGACTTGAAGCTGACGAATACTTCCAGTTGCAACTAGAGATTGTTAGCTGTTTCCATGGGAAAGATGGCCAAAGAAACTGGGACCACATCACGCCATTAAAGTCCTCCGATGCAGTCCAAGTGTGATATCGAAAGCCAACATCCAGGGAAAGTTGTCAAGTTGTGATGCCTTCGTCGTTTTCAAAACATTTTTTTTTTAACAGTCGGGCAAATGTTCATAATCGTGGTCATTAGGCACATCATGACTGACCATGGAGGAGGTAGTTCCAAGAAATTAGTCCTCAGTTATAACGGAATGAATTCATCGTTTAGATTTATTATATATGAATCCTCATTCTGAAAAGCATATCGCGAGCTACAACCAATTAGATCACGTGACAGGTAGGATATTTTTTTTTCTTACTCCAGAGGAAAAAGTAAAATGTTTTCATTAAGAAAAATCCTCAAAGACCATGGTTGTATACGAGGCACACACATATAAAACATAGTCACAGATAAGGTAAACGTCTTGTACCACCATATTTGAAGTACATATTTATTTAATTGTCCTTGAGCTACGTGTTTATTGACTTGTAATAGAAACAAATAGTTCTTAAGTTGTACTTCAGTTGCATTTTGGGTGCGTTGTTTTCGAGCTGTATTTGTACGGAGTTATATTTAAGCCATAATTTTGTCGAGTTGCACCTGAACTATATGTTTATTGAATTGCTCTAGGGCTACAGTTGCACGGGAGCTACGCTACTATTAAGTTGTACTCGAGCTACATTTTAGTTGAGGTGCACCGGAGCCATATTTGTGTTGAGCTGTACTAAAAGAATATTTTTCTTAAATTCTACTGAAACATTATTATTATTACACACTAAGGTCATTTTTAACATTTCAACTATGAAGATAAAATATTGATGAAACAGTATCGACGTGAGGTTTAAAACCTAAACGAACACCATCATGAAAATAGTTTGTTATAATACCACGTGATATTAAATTTATGTGGAGCAAATGTTTGCTTGCAGGATGAAAGCCACGTTTGGAAACCTTCTTCTCCACTATATCCATCCAAACGAATTCCTGGATTCACCGGAATGGGAATCGTGCACGGTGGATAGTGATAAACTTTTCCAGGTAAAGTATTCCTTAGAAAATAAACAGTTGTGTTAGGTAAGTGGACTACTCCAAGTTATTATTTAACTCACCAGGCTATAGTGTTACATGGAAAGTAAACAGTTGTGTTAGGTAAGTGGACTACTCCAAGTTATTATTTAACTCACCAGGATATAGTGTTACATGGAAAGTAAACAGTTGTGTTAGGTAAGTGGACTACTCCAAGTTATTAATAACTGACCAGGATATAGTGTTACATGGAAAGTAAACAGTTGTGTTAGGTAAGTGGACTACTACAAGTTATTATTTAACTCACCAGGAGATAGTGTTACATGGAAAGTAAACAGTTATGTTAGGTAAGTGGACTACTACAAGTTATTATTTAACTCACCAGGAGATAGTGTTACATGGAAAGTAAACAGTTATGTTAGGTAAGTAAATAATACTTGGTTAGTATTTAACTAAAAATGATTTTGCTAAGTGTTTTGAGTAAAACATTTGTTTTCACGTGTTATAAGTTGATTAATTTTGAAGCCACGTTAAACGGAAATAACTATTTTGTGTTCCTGCTTAAGTTGTATATATATATATAAACCTACGTTGATCTCTTGGCCAGGATAACTTTCCCTCACGTTTCTAACGAGAGTAGATACGCATATGATCGGTAACACCAGATCGTGAAACGTGAAACCTTTTAGTGTTAACACTCCGTCAGAGTATGTACTTACCAGTGGAAATACATAACCCATCATTAGATCATATATATTCACAAAGCCCACGTGTTTGTAAGCCTTACAGAATATCAATGTGGTCATAAAAAAACTTTTGAAACTTGTTCGACATCCATCCAGCTACTCTTCTTGAGAAACATTAGTGATGTTATATTCTTTACTTAGTTATCAGTAGTAACTTAAAACGCTTTAAGTGTTTAAATATCACGTGACTATACAGTCAACATTAATTATGTTTTCATTATTCGGCAACTACACGGCCATTTATTGATGGATTATTTTTTCCTTGTCAACAAGGGAGTCGCTAGGCACACGGGGCCTGAACCCCCGAATCTTTTAAGCACCTAATGACGCCTCTGTTTGAGAAAACGTGTAATTTCTGTGAAGAAGAAAAAGACACCCCTGAATGACAGTAGATTAATCTGTTCCTTGAATCACGACTATCACTGTTTCGTATAACTTGAGACACGTTAGATGATGTAATATAGCATGCCAACGATTTGTTATTATATGGGAAGTGAATCGTTTACATCAAATCTTGGATTGACTGTTACTCTTGTAACACACCTACAGCTCAAAGTGCGGCATTACGTCTAGAACCCCGGACCCGTCAATCCACAGTTCGACACACTAATCACTAGGCCTCGCCCTTTACGTTATAATATAATATGTTGTAACACAAACGCTCTCGCGACAACTCTAATGATTCTCTATACGAAAGTTTAACAACGAAACGTCACAGCTGTGAAGGGGTTCGAAAAGACACATTAAAAAAAAATGCACAGCTCAGCAACTTTGAACTTATACAAACGTAGAAAGATACAAAGTTTGGCTAAGTAAGTATCCGGTAAATTTCACTGTTATTGTAAACCTTCTAACGGGACAGTATCACGTGCTGCTTTCGACTTTTATGCTAAAAAAAAAAAAGTGCTGAAAAACGAAAGCTCTCCAGATGTTTGACACATCACGGCTGTTTCATGCTCATGCGTAAACAGAGAATAGCACTTGCATGACTTTCAGAGTGCTTCCCTCTACATAACGTGTACATCCCACAGATCTCCGTCGAACTGGTGAAGAACCAAAAATCCTTTCGGCTCGTTTTCTACGTTCCTATGAAAAACCTGAAAAACTTTTTAAGCTAATCGTACTTATAAAAACTTCATCTTAATAAATCAAACGTTACAATTATTGTTAATTATGTAACTTAATATTAACGAAATAATTCCACCGTAATAAACCCCCTGAGAGCAATAAATTATGAATGAATAAGATAATGAATTTGATTTAGAGATTTACCAAATCCATATTATCCAAACATGACTGAGACCACCACCGCTCGTTAAAACCAGCATAGCGTTTCTGAAAGTCATTTTTTAGCAATTTACCATCTGTATGCAGATCTCATCTTTGGAAGATAAAGATAACATATTTTCATGTATCCCGGTTTCAAATAAATATAATTTATCTGAATTAATATGTCGATAATAATAAAATATTAATGTTTATGTTATCCACCCAAAAAAATAAACAATGTGATAATAGATGTAATGCTCACAAGTTAATAGTAATCTTATCACTAAAACAGTTATATGATTTGTTATCGAAGTATAATAGGTGGATCATATCTTAAGCACGAGAAAAAAGGAAGCCTTAATTGAATATGATATATATAAAACACAAAACCCATCAAGAATTTGAAGAAATGCTGCTTTTTTCATGACATACAAGTTTAACACTACCGGAACCGAAAGGTTCAGTGTTCTTTTGTAAATAATTATTTATGGTGTTTTAATTACTTGTACTTACTTTCTCGTTATGTAAGTAATAATTTATACTCTTCTAATTACTTGTAATGGCGTTGCTTTCTCGTTCTGTAAATAATAATTTATAATGTTCTAATTACTTGTAATGGCGTTGCTTTCTCGTTCTGTAAATAATAATTTATACTGTTCTAATTACTTTTAATGGCGTTTCTTTCTCGTTCTGTGAGTAATAATTTATACTGTTCTAATTACTTGTAATGGCGTTGCTTTCTCGTTTTGGGTTTCCATCTCTGACAGATACTTTGGAAAAGAATACTTTGTAGTGTTGTAAGTATTTGTAATGGCGTTTCTTTCTCGTTCTGTAAATAATAATTTATAATGTTCTAATTACTTGTAATGGCGTTTCTTTCTCGTTTTGGGTTTCCATCTCTGACAGATACTTTGGAAAAGAATACTTTGTAGTGTTGTAACTATTTGTAATGGCGTTTCTTTGTCACTCTAGGTTTCTATATCTGCTGTGGAACCAAGTCGTTTCTTCTTTGGTCACGTCGGAAACTTGATGCTACTCTCAGTAATAACATATTCCTTCGTAATCTCATGTATAATCTTATTGGTAAGGATATCACCAACAAACTCTACTTGCTCAACGAAGTCCATCGTTTAGACTGGAACCTCAGGAATAAATCCCAAATACCCGACTGGTGGCGCCACCATATCACAAGGAGTGTGAGTGCTGATGCTGTCCACATGGGAACTAAAGGCCATTTGAGGTCACTTTTGTGGCGATCACGACCTGGAAGCTCTGTGCCACCAGATAGTACAGGTACTATAAATACAAATACCCTGTAATGCTAAACTGTATTAACCAATTAATTAGAACTAGTGATATCAAATAATCAAAAACAGTTTTCCAAGGAATAACTCTGTATTTTATATCCATTAATTTTGACTTTTATAAAGAGTGTTTTTTGTCTTAGTTGTTCGATTAAAATAGTTGACAAAGATTCGTACTGACTTCTAATTTTTGTGTTCATTGTGCTCCCATATTTTGTGACAGAACTATTGCCCCCCCCCAGTGGCATAGCGGTATGTCTGCGGACTTACAACGCTAGAAACCGGTTTTCGATACCCGTGGTGGG